AATTTTTGCTATTTAATGACCACAAATTGGTATCTAAGTATGATTTTATTCTTTATTTCTCTGATTACTAGCAAGGTTGAGCAACTTTTCATAAATTTCTGTGTGAAATGCTTATTTATAGTTTGCTGTTTTTCCCCCGTATGCATTTTTACATCTGACTGCTTTACCTACCAAAAATATTGCATCACAAGCCATCCCCAAACTCAATGTTTTTAAACAACACATGTTTATTTACACGTGAATAAATCTTTGGGTGATTTGTGATTGAGCTGATCTAGGCTGGGCTTGCCTAGATAGTTTTAAAAGGCTCCAGGCTATTAACATGCTGGGGTTGGCTGCAGGATGTGAATAATGTTCAGATGTGCTCTACTTGTTTTCCTTCTGGAACCCACTCTGAAGGAGCAAAGAATAACTAAAGCATGCTCTTTTAATGGAGGATAGTTGCAGTGCAACGAGGTCAAGACTAGCTGTACAAGCACATGTCAAGTCTCAGCTCACATTGCATCTGCTATTGGTCAAAGGAAGTCTAGACCAAGCTCAAGTTAAATGCGTTCAGTCCAAATGGAGACATGGCAAGAGTAAGGATGTATCATTCTGTCATAAGAGAGTCAAGAATTCTTACTTAGATAAGTGAAGGAATGGAAAAATATATGTTATGTAAATGGTAACCCAAAGAGAATAGGGTGGCTATACTTATATCAGACAAAATAGATTTTAAATAAAAAATTGTCATAAGAGACAAAGAATGATAAAAGGGTTACTCAACCAGGATAATGTCAACAAGGATACAGAGGACTTCAGCAACGCTGTAGATCAAATGGACATAATAGATACAAAGAACATTCCACCCAACAGCAGCAGAATATACATTCTTCTTAAGAGCACATGGAACTTTCTCCAGGATAGGCCAAATGATAGTCACAAGTCTTAAAAAATTAAAAAACATCATACCAAGTATCTTTACTAAATACAATGGAGTGCAAGGAGAAATCATCAGCGTAAGGAAAACTGGAAAATATGTGGAAATTAGATAACACACTTTTGAACAACCATTGGGATAAAGAGAGAAATAAAAAAGGAAATTAGAAAATACCTTGAGACAAATGAAAATACGTATCAAAACTTATGGGACACAGCAAAAGCAATACTACGATGGAAGTATATTGTGATAAATACCTACATCAAAGTGAAGATCTCAAATAAGCAATATTTGTATCTCAAGGATATAAAAAAGAAGAACAAACTAAGCCCAAAGTTAGCAGAAGGGAGAAAATATCAAAGATAAGTGCAGAAACACACAAAATGGAAGACTATAGGAAAATCATAGAAAAACCCCTCATAAAACTAAGAGTTGATTTTTGAAATGATAAAATAACAATATAATTGGCAAATCCTTAGCTAAACTAATTAAGAAACAGAGAAAATTCAAATAAATACAATCAGAAATGACAGAGAAAATATTGCAATGATACCATAGAAATAAAAAGTATCATAAAGAGACTATCATGAACAATTAACATCAACAAACTATATAACCTAGAAGAAATGGATACATTCCTGGAAATATACAACCTACCAAGACTAAATTATGAAGAAAAAAAAATCTGAACAGATTTATAACTACTATGGACATTGGTTCAGTAATCAAAAAACCCCCAACAAGAAAGCCCAAGACAAAATAGCTACATTGGTGAATTATATCAAACATTTTAAGCAAGAATAAATGCCATTTCTTCTCAAACTCTTCCAAAAAAACCGGAGAGAAAATACTTCCAAACTCATTCTTAGAGGTCACATTACCCCAATATCAAAGCCAATTAAAGAAATCGCAAAAAATAAAAACCACAGGTTAATACCCTAGATGGAAAAATCTTCAACAAAATACAAGCAAACTGAATCAAACAGCACATTAAAAGGATCATACACCAGACCAAATGGGATTTATTCTTCGTATAAAAGGATGGTTCAATATACAAAATCAATTAATGTGATACACTATATTAATAGAATAGAAGGTAAACATCACATAATCACCTCAGTAAATGCAGAAAAAGCATTTGATGGAATTCAGAACCTTTTCATGATAAAAACTCTTGACAAACTAGGAATAGAGGGAATTATCTCAACAAAGTGAAGGCCATATATGAAAAGCCCACAGTTGACATTGTAACTCCTCTGATAATAAAGTTTTCATATATACCTTTCTATTTCAGGGCTTTCTCATCTGTTTCATTGGTCTATTAACCTATCTCTGTACAAGTACCACACTGCCTTAATAATAAGACAATATTAGGATATTGATTAGAATTACATTAACTTATAAATTAATTTCAGAATTATTGCCATTAGGACAGTACTGGGCCAATTTATCTCTTTTGTCTCATTTTTAAAAAATTTAGTCTTGGCTTATTGCTTGTGTATAGAAATACAACTAATGGTTGTATGTTGATCTTGTAGCCTACAACCTTGCTAAACTCACTTATTAGTTCTAGTAATTTTTTTTGTAGTTCTTTTTACATACAGTCATGTATCACACACCAAAGTTTTGGTCAATGATGGACCTCATAAGATTATAGTGGATTATAAGCAAAAATTTGTTAGTGATGTTGAAAGAAAAGACTAGATCTGGCTGTGAGTTGAATTTATTACTAATTTGATGGTTTAAATAGGTAAAGAAGTTCAGCATAGTTTTTCCTTATAATCCTTTTGATTTATGTAAGATCGTTATTGATGTAACCTCTCTCATTCGGATTTTAGTGATTTCTCTCATTTTGTTTGTTGGTCTAGCTAGAAGTGTATCAGGCTTGTTTATCTTATTGGCTGCACTTTAAATTGCAAAGGTTTTTAAATTTTTCATATCCAACTTTGTCAAGCCCTGGGGTATTATTAGTTATGAAATGCAAGCCAGCCTTGGCAGTGCTTATGTCTTGTGCAATCATATTTTGCTAAAGGCATCAAGTCTAAGCTGTTCATTTGCATAGATGTTCAGAGTATTACTGGCAGCTAGGCATGATAAATTGTATTTACATTCTACAAAATGAATGCGATGTTATTGAATTTAGTAGGTAAGTACATGTTTTAAGGATAAAAATATCTGACTAGAAGCAAATCAATATGAGGAAGTGTTTTTGTTTGTTTGTTTGTTGTATATGAAAGAAAAAGGGAAAGGAGTTATTAAGTTTGAGACCTATGCTCACTTCAGTCATATAGCATTCTAAAGAGTAATGTATGGATCAAAAACTAATATCCAATGTACCTAAGGCGTTTGAGGCTCTGTAATTTAGACATACTTATGCAGTTGGAACAAACACATTGAGAGTCTGCTGTGAGCCAAGTACTATCTAGAGCAGCGATTTTCAACCTTTTTCATTTCGTGGCACACATAAACTAATTACTAAAATTCTGTGGCACACCAAAAAATACATTGTATTTTTGCCAATATGACAAAAAAAAGTAGATATAATTTTGATTCATTCACACTGGACAGCCATTGCTGTGTTGGCTGTTGTCATTTTTTTTTAACTGAACAATTGAAGGGAAAAGAGGTCAGTGCTTCTCACTAAATAGTCAGGTATTGCATGTTTTAAATATTCTTGCGGTTGAAATTGCTGATCTAGACAGTGGAAAATAAAGATCAGTAGTTCACAATGTTTGTCTCAAGGGAAGACACATATGAAAATTAAAATATAGTATAAAGTGTTGAATGCTGTGGCAAAGATAAGTATGGGTACAATGAATTTTAAGTAAGACATACTTGGTCCATTGGAAGTAGGAGGTAAGCAAGGAAGGCTTTTCTCAAGGATATGAAGTATCTTAGTTGAGTCATAAAAGATGAGTAGGAGAGAGGTTAAAATGGTGCTGGGTGAGTAGTAGGGAAGTTATTTCAAGGTTGAGAGACCAGCAAAAGTGTGGATCTGGGAAGCAGCAGGCATGTCAGTATTCCAAGGGACTGTAAGACTTGAGCATTGACTAGAGCAGGGGTGGGCAAACTTTTTGACTCGAGGGCCACAATGGGTTCTTAAACTGGACCGAGGGCCGGAACATAAGCATGGATGGAGTGTTTGTGTGAACTAATATAAATTCAAAGTAAACATCATTACATAAAAGGGTACGGTCTTTTTTTTTATTTTAGTTTTATTCATTTCAAACGGGCCGGATCCGGCCCGCGGGCCGTAGTTTGCCCACGGCTGGACTAGAGCATAAGATTGGAGGTGGTCAGGGAGTTATTGGGAATACAGCAAGGAGAGGAATTCAAGAAATATTTAACAGATAAAATCAGCAGAACCTGGTGGCCGAGTGTGAGGTGTGATGTACAGAATGAAATGATGTTAACTCCTAGGTCTCTAGTTCAGGCAAAATCAGGGCCTCCATTAGCCCCAAAGTTGTCTTTGTTTGAATTAGAAAAAAGATGAAGTTTCTTCCTGGCAAATATAATAACTCTGTAGCAGGGGAAATGGCATGTGTGCAGAGCTCAGGATAGATTTCAGCTTCCATCGCCCCTTAGCTTGGTGCTCTTGTGTATTGCCCATTATGGACAATTGTAAGGGGCAGATATGGGTAAATGAGTGGCCAATGGTGTCATTAGTGCAATTAGGAAGAGAGAGTAGAACTGGGAGGTAGTAAGAGGGGAAATGATGAGTTCAGTTGTGAATATGTTCAGTTTGTAGTGTTTAGGGTCATTTGTTCTGATGGAAATACCAGGGATGAAGTTGGATATATGATTCTAAAATATTGGGGACTATAGATGATTTAGGTATATTAAATCTTTAAAAAAGTACATGTCAACTGTAGTTAAAATTATTCAAAGTGAATAACTTTTTGAATTACAGCTCGAATTGTACTTATATAGTACTAGTGATTGGTTCTCCAAAATGGTTCACCTGCTCTATCAAAAAACTCATTCAAAATAATTTTTTGAAGAATGTCTACAATTATTTATTAATGTACTGAAGAATGGTTATGACAAAATGGAATCATAATCATCTTGAAATTTTCTCTGTTCCAGATTGCTGTGCTATGCTTTGTATGACCAAGACCTCTTACCAAGAATACCTTTGCTTTGATACTTGAGGACAATCAGACCATGTGAGTACAGAGCTGTATATGCAGATTGCAGTGAATTCTAATGGATTAGATCAGCTAAGTAAAAATCAAAACACAAAAAATTCATGGTAGATAAGACCAAAAAAAATAACACCTATTTTCTTTTTGATATAAATTCTAGATGAGATGGAAAACTCATCTCTTTTCCCCATTAACTTATTATTATACTAAGGGGTTATAAAACCAACAGTTTTTCTGTCAGCTCATTTATCAGAGTATTTATGGCAACCAATAATCCTATACTAATAAAAGCCAAACATGCAAATTGACCATACTTTTGCTATGCCTTAAGCCACGCCCACCAGCCAATCAGAGCGACTATATGCAAATGAACCCAACCAAGATGGCGGCCGGCAGCCATAGAGCTGGAGCAAGCAGGAGGCTTGCTTGCTCCAGTGATGGAGGAAGCCAAGGTTGCCCGCCTGCCGCGGCCCGGGTCTGAGCTACACTGAAAGCAACAAAGTTTCAATTATAGAAGGTAAATAAACCCCAGATACCTGCTCTCAGCCGGCTGTGGCCATGGAGCTGGAGCCAGCCAGAGTGGGTTGCTCCTGGCGATGGAGGAAGCCAAGCTTTCCGCAGGCCTCCGCTAAAGGCAACAAAGTTTCAATTATAGAAGATAAATAAATCCCAGAATAAAAAAGAAAAAAGGAGAGGCTGGGAGCTTACATCGCCAGGGTGCTTGGCCAGCCTGAAAACAGCCATCAGCCCCTCACCCAGGCTGGCCAAACCTCCATGGGGTGAGGGTCCCCACTGGGGTGGACATCCTCCGAGGGGTCCCACACTGCAAGAGGGCATAGGCCGGGCTGAGGGACCCCCCGAGTGCACAAATTTTTGTGCACCGGGCCTCTAGTAAAAAGTATAATTGAAAACATGTTGTTTTGTTTTTATTTTTGTACCTCTAAGGGAACAAAACCCCCTGAACTTTTCATATGGCACTATTTTTCAGAAAGACACAAACTACTAAGGAGTGCTAAAGTGGCAATGAAACAGCCCAATAGGAAGAGGAAGCTTAGTATGGATTCCAAAGAGAATGTGAATCAGGATGGAAGCTTGGTAAGATGTCAGTTTCTGGACTCTTCCTCGGAGTTTGTGCTCAATGTGGAAATTCACCCTGTAATTGTAGAATTTGTATAACCACATGGAAGTGCTTTTTTCAATCACTGAAAATTGGTTTATTCTGATTGACTTTTATGTACAATGGAATAGAATATAAGTTTCATTTCAGTCTGGTATATTTTAAAAGGTAATCTTAATTTTAAAAAGATGGAGATAATTGATCACTGTTGAGTAAGGGAAAGAGCTTGTCAACTGCAGAGGGTTGTATTTATTAGGGTTCCTAGAGAAATAGAACTGGTAGGAGTAGTTGACAGTCCTGTGACAAGTGCAGTTCACAATTTCTGTCCCTACTTGATAATGGTGAATATATCGAGAGAGAGAGAGAGAGAGAGAGAGAGAGAGAGAGAGATTTGTTTTAAAGATTTTACTCATGAATTTCTGTGGGCTGCCAAGTCTGAAGGCAGGGTGGAGACCCAGAAAAAAGTTGACATTGCAGTCTTGATTCCAAGGCAGTCTGGAGACAGAATCCCGCCTTCCTCAAGTGAAGTCAATCTTTTTTTTAACTGATTAGATGAGGCTCATCCATATTGTGGAGAGTAATCTGCTTCACTCAGAGTCTAGTGTTTAAATGTTAATTGTATCTAGATACAACTCACAGGGACATCTCAACAACTAGAGGGTATAATATGCACATGCCTCTAGGTACGAGTGCTATTTCCTTATGACAACTTTTTGTATTCCCACAAATTTCAAGGTGGGCAGAAGTGACCAGGAGACCTCTGTTGTAACTGTTTTGGGATTAGTAGACCATTAGAACGTTCTCACTGTTTCTTGGGCTCTCATTATTTACTTGGATGTGGGTTTGAGGGTCTTCAGGTGGGTTGTGGTTACACATTTACACATTACAGTTGGTGAAGTGGCACAGTGCTGTACATTCTTTGGTTCAATGCCAGGTCAGGTGTGGTGTGATGAACTCCATGCATTAAATGAGACCTGTCAAGCAATGATGTGGTCGGTGTTTGGTTTTAAGATGTTAAATATAGGTCTGTGTCAAACTATAGAGCTATTTTTTCAGGATCAGCTTCACTGGGAGTTGAGGTGGTTAACTTGGGGCTGAGGTCCAGTGCCCCTTAAGGTCCAGATTAGTTTCATCTCATAGACCAGGTCCATGAGAGTTGAGTGCTCCAAGTGTATCAAGGTTGCTTGGACCAGACTTGGGAAGGCCAACACCTGTCTCAAGCTTGTGAGGATGCCATTCTTCTCAGTATTTTTGGTTTGCTGTGTCATGCCCTCTGAGGAGACAGGGTATTTGATGTATTCCAAGTTATTTTTAGATAGTGATTCTCCAGCATCACTGTGGTCTCCAGACTGGCCTCAACAGCATCACCTGGGGACTTGTTAGAAATGCAAATCCCTGTCCCTCACTCCATACCCCGTGAATCAAATACTCCGGGGGTGGGGCTTAGTAGTTTATAGTTTACCAAGCCCTCCAAGTAATTCTGATACATGCTCATGTTTGAGAAACACTGTCCTAGGGAAATAGCTAGATATGTCTTACCTACTAAGAGAGCTGTAGTTATAATTGATAATGGCTGCTGGATGTTTATTAATTGTTTAAATTTAATATTTGAAGCCACCTCTCCTATCCAACATATTTTCTACTTTTTCTTAGTATGATTTCTCTTTAAATTACTACTGCCCCTTCTCAGCACTTCAGTTATCTTGCCCCCCTACAACATGAATATTTAACCTTCTGTCTCTTCTGTATTGGCACAAATTCCAGTTTTCTCTTAGAGCCCAACTCAGCTCTGACTTAATGCTAATGCTTTTACCATTGTTTCCATTCCACTTTGGGATTTTCCCTTTTTTAAACTCCAAAACTGCTCAACATTTAAATAGGTGCTGTTTTAATGTGGTGCTTTGTGTAGCTAGATTTCTAAAACTATCTGTTGAATGATGTTCCTGGCATTTAATGGCATCTTCATGCAAATGGACTTCTTTGATCAATAGCAAGGAAATGACATTTCAAAGGATCATGTTACTAATTTGAGTTTTGAGGTGTTTGGAACATATAATTATTTTATAGGGTCATTGAAAAGACACACATTTAGGATGAATTCTGCATTGTACTGTCAGTTTGGGGCCCATTGCCAGTTATAGTGTCAATTTTCTTTAGGGAAATTTAATAGTTTAATACAGTAAGCAGGTTCACATCTGTGGCTGCATTCACTATGGAGGGAAAGGGGTTCAATCCGGTTTGAGTTCTATCACTATAATTATGTTTGACTTTTGATTGAAATGTCAGTAACATCCTTTACTTTCTCTGTTAACCTTATAATTTTACAACTGACATTTTCAGTCAACCAAGCAAAATAGCATGGAAGATGAAATAAAACATCAAACTAATGAAAAGAGGGATGCTTTCTAGACATCTGTTTTTGAGACAATAACTTAATATCTTAGGTATCAAATAATTTTTAGATGCTGATAGTAATATCTATCAATGATGTATTCCTAGACTAAATATTTTCTCTGTATTCATTGAATTTCAAAAATATTTATATCTTTCAATATATAGGCACATAGTTAAAAAATCAAATAGTACAGACAAGGATTAAAATAAGAATGCAAATTTTTTGTACCTACTAACACACATACTAACCCCTAAGTCTTTCCCTAAAGGTGTGACCACTGTTTATATTTTCTTGTGTATCTAAACAGGAATCAAAAAAAAAAAAGAAAGCTAAAAACCTTCTAAACCCTTTATGTACATATTCATACATACATAATACATACATGCATACACATATACAAATGGGTTCACACTCTACTTCTTGTTCTGTATCTTGCTTTATTTCACTTACGCATGTGTATCTTGTCATTGTTTTCAATGGTGCACAGTATTTCATTCTGTGAATGTATCATAATTTATTTAAGAGTACCCTACTGTAAACATTTAGGTTATTTTAATTTTTGTTGTTATATACAATGTTACAACTAATGTTCCTTCATATATCTGGCATATTTTTGTAGTTGATTCACAGATAAAAATCTTACCACTAGAATTGTACTGAAGAGTATGTGCATTTAAAATTTTGATAAGCCTTTCATATCATCCTTCAAAGACGTAACCTCAATTTATACTTTCTGTGACAGCATCTGCAAGGATGCCTCTTTTCCTGAAGATTTCTTACATCTTTGTTTTCTAAAATCTACTGTGTGGATAAACATCTGTTTAGCGCACTGGTCTCCATGGCGCTGCCGCAGTGTTGAAGAGAAGTGTTTCCCTGCTCCTTTTAGACTCTGTAACGTATGTTTTTTCACAACACCTACCCAAACCCAGGTGTTATTTTGGTGCCATTTGCTCGCTTTTTCCACCTTCCACCTTTAAAATTGACCAGGGAAGTGTAGACATGTGATAACGGGGAAACTAAGCTTTTTGGTATTTTTTTTTCCCAAGGAAATTTCATAGATGTTTTCTGTGTATGTGAGTGTTCTGGTCATAAAACCCCAAAGTAAATTCAGGCCATAAAATTTCAAATTTCCTAAAATGCAAGTTTCCCAAATAAAAAAGGAAATTTTATTTGACTATACAAGTATAAAATATGTGGTCTTTAATTATACACACACACATACACACACACACACACACACACAAACATTCTTCTTCTCCATCTGAACCTCTTTGAATCTATACCTAATTAGTGAATTATGAGCTTTGAGAAATAGAAATATAAGACATTATATTTTGCCCAAAGGATTTAGCATTGCTGAATAAAAGAGCAGGAGCTTATCTAGAGTAATGCAATACAACTAAGTACTTATGCACATAGTGCTCTTAAGGCACATTCAGCCTTCAGGAAAAAGTGGGCTTATTGGGGCTTGTGTCTGACCTTGAAGGATGAAGATTATGTAAGATGTACACGTTTAATGCCTTATTTAATTTATTTAATAAATAAAAATGTTTATCTAACACATATTTAATTCTGTTCTAAAAAGTGGCCCTTAAATCTAACTTGGTAAAAATGTAATATGAGAGAATACAATTTTTTTGCATTTTAACATCCCCGTGCTCTCTGTAGGCAACTAAGTAACCTTGAGAGCTAAGAAAGTTGAAGGGTTATAGTAGGGATCATCTGGGCCAAGGAGGCAGTATGAGCAAAGGTATGGGGTTGAAAGCAAATGTCACATATGTGATGTATGATGACATTATAATGACTTGTCCTACTGAACAGATGTTGCTCTTGCAAGTTTTCTAAACTGATGGTTGGGCTAGAGACATCAGAATATTTGCATTTTAGTCTTTGGCTCTGGTAATAATTAGTTCTGTGACCAAGGGCAAGTCCTTCACCAGACTGGGGCTCAGATTTTTTATCTGTAGAACAAAAGTCTTATTCTAGAATATTTTTAAAATATATTTCTTTAAATTGATTTCAGAGAGAAAGGGAGAGGAAGAGAGTGATAGAAACATCAATCATGAGAGAGAATCATAGATTAATCAGCTGCCTCCTACATGCCCCCTAACTAGGGATCAATTCATAACTCAGGCATGTGCCCTGACCAGAAATCGAATCATGACCTCCTGGTTCATAGGTCGATACTCAACCACCATGCAACACCGGCCAGGCTAGAAGATGTTTAAGGGTCTTTCTATTTTAATAAGTCTAAGCAGTGGTACATAAGAGATAGTAAGATGACTAGAGTGGACTTGGGTGGCCAAGCTTAGATGAGTCTTGAAGGCAGAGCAGAGGAAATTATACTTGATATTGTGACTGTTGGACTTGGTACGCTAACAAGATGGGCCATGGTTGCCTTCAACTTGGGCATAGTGTAATGAAATATATTTTGTAATAACCTCAAATAGATACTGAGAACATGTTTAGGGTGGGATTATTTTTGTTTCTTATTTTCAGTAGTTCTAAACTTTTTATCATTTTGTTGCCCTACACACAACTGATAATAGTTTGCATCAGCCAATGAAATTCTTTTATATATGG